AGAGAGAGAGAGAGAGAGAGAAACTAGAAAGAGAGAGAGGAGGGACAGAGAGACTGTGTTTGTGGAGGGAGAGAGAGAGATGAGGGAGAGACTCTGTGTGTGTGTGTGTGTGTGTGTGTGTGTGTGTGTGTGTGTGTGTGTAAAGAGAGTGTGTATATGTGTATGTGTGTGTGGAGTATATATAGTAAATATTTGCTGCATATAATATGCATACATGCAAGGAATGAGAGAGACTTCTAACTATGGACTAGAAATGAATTGAACACTGTAAGAAGAGCCCCAGCGGTCAGTGTGGCAGGAGCCTGGAAGGCAGTCCTGCTGAGAGCAGTGCAGAAGGGTGCAGACTGGCTCATGCGATTTCAGAGGGATGCAAGGACTTTATTGGCAACTGAGCTAGAGGTCATGTTTTCTGTCCATATTCTGAGAACTTACAAAAGACTAAATTAAAAGGCAATGGACTGATTATTTGGTGGGGGAAAGCTCAATAGAGCATGATACGGAGTCTCTAGAATGACTATTAATAGTGACTCTGTGTGCAGGTCTACAGTGAAATGGGGCAGTAGGAAATGACAAATGTTTGACACTTTGCACTGGAGGCCAAAGGACACTAGGAATCTCAATGTCACAGAATGGCTGTGAGGGGTTGGGGACATAAACAGGAGGCTCCTGCCCTTCAGTAGAGCAGTGGGAGGGGGCAGTGGTGACAGGTCCCCAACCAGCTGAACTCCAGCTTCTGAAGGGAGAAAACCAAAGCTTTCTTGCTCCTGGAAAGACATTGTTTCTATGAAAAAAAGATGCATTCTGGTGTGGTTTATTGTGACAAGGGTCCATCCCAAGCTAACAGTCAAACCTGGTGCGCTGTCTGTGGATACTGCCTGTGGAGTCATGAAACATGCAGGAGTTAAGTGGTCACGGATGCTCTCCACGGTGTCAGAGTGCCCTAAGTCAGGAAACAACCTGAGCCCCTCCCACGTTCAGTAGACACTGACATTGATTCCATATTGTTTAAAATTCTACCATTGACACAACGTGCAAATGGAGAACCCATTAGTGGCTTGAAAGTCGCATTTGAAGGCACGGGTGCCACAGTGTTTGACCTGTCAGAGGCTCGCGGTAGATGTAACAAGGGACTTCAACAAAAGGTCTGTGAGTCCCCTCAGCCATAGAAGCCCATGTCCATGATGAACATATGGATAGTGGTCCAAATAAGCACCCTCATCCTGGTGTGCAGAGGGAGCAGGGTCACTACATTTGCACATGGTGCTTCCTCTGTATGCGTGGAGAAGTCTGAGTAAGAAATAGATGGAGGGAGAGATGGACACAGAGACACGTGTGTAGATAAGATAGATAATAAAATGACGAACAGATGATAGAGAGTGGACCTCTGGTATCTCACTGTCATAAGGACACCAGTCCCATTGTCTCCATATTCATGGCATCATTTTGTCTTCATTACTTTACGTCATTAAAGGTTCAGTCTCCAAAAACAGTTGCTGAGCTAAGGGCTTTTACATATGGATTTGGGAGACATAATTGAACCACCAACCCTGGAGACCCCATTAGGAACCATGGGCAAATACTCGGGAACACGGCATCTGGCCTCCTCCTGCTTCTTGCCATTTAACCATGCTGTCCTCTAACCTCATTCTTTTCTTGGTAAATAGAGGCAGGACACCTTGTGAAAGAAGTCACTGATTTCCTCACAAAAGCACTCAGCAGAGAGGATCTGGAGCATCTGATAACTGAAGATGGAGCCTGGAAGGCGTTTGTGGAGGCAGCAGAGTTGTCAAGGTTACCTGCATAGTGCACCCAGCATTGTCCACCAGACCATGAGGATGAGGCTTTTCCTGGGCAGGCATACCCACTCTAGGCAGTCCCAGGGGTGGGGTTGTGGACATTCCTTCTCAACAATCCAGGAGGAGTGAGTCTACATGTTATTCCTTGGTGGACATCACCTCAGGTTTATTGAAGATGTTGCTCAAGGTGCTGGGACCATTTCTGTCATCTACCAGTTCTGTGACCTCGGCAAGATAGTTAGCACTTCCTGAGTTTCACCACCATGAGACTGCAGTGTGAGAAAATAAGATCATGTGTGTGGAGCTCTCTGCATGTGACCAGTACACAGTGGAAGCCCCTGAAAGTCATCACTGAGAGCTACTTTAGAAATGGGAAGAGAGGGGACTGGAGAGATGGCTCAGAGGTTAAGAGAACTGACTGCTGTTCCGAAGGTCCTGAGTTCAATTCCCAGCAACCACATGATGGCTCACACCCATCTATAATGAGATCTGGTGCCCAGAACACTATATATACGTAATAAATAAATTTAAAAGAAAAGAAATGGGAAGAGACCAGGGCTAGGAGTCTCCTATAGGACTGAGGAATCAAGAACTTATTACAAGACAAGTGAGAAAAGTCTAGATATGATCAGCCATGTCTCCAGATTCTGTCTCGGTCACTCCCCTTCCACCTGAGGAGCTGTGACAACAGCAGGGTCCTCTGTGGGCTGAGGAGACCGAGAGACCACAGTGCAGCTGCACAGAGCTGGGCTGACCCTGACTGTCCCTACTGAGATCTGGAGCCCCAGCTGTGTTCACTAGGAAGTGGAATGTAGGCTGATAGAACGTGATGGTGACAGCCTGGGATGAATAGCAGGTCAGGGAGGGGAAACCAAGTGCCAGCTCCCTTCCCTAAGCCCAGAGAGACCATGACTAGGGTCTCAGCCAGGGTTCAGGAGATACTGTGAATGACCCTAGAACGGAGGTGTAGGAAGAAGGCAAGGACATCAGGGAAGGATGGAGGAATTGGAAGCACAGAGAAGAGGATGGTCAGGGTAAGAGAAGGGACATTTGTCCCCTGCTCTGGCTTCATCTTCATGGATGTGCAGGCCTGTGCCCAGGTGTGCCCTCCACACACTGCCTTTGCTTAAAGTTCCCAGGTGTTCTTTGTGACCTGCTTCTGTTCTGCATGGCGCTCCCTGAAAATGAGGAAGGACATGTGGCTAGAGATAGCTTCAAAATTCAATGTGGTTGGAGGATGATTCATGTAAATCTTAGAATCTAAGGGGACCCCCATGTCACCGTAGCAGAGGAAAGTGCTTCCCTTATTGCCTTGTCCAAATTCAAGGCATATCTGGCCTACTGCTTACTGCTCTCCAGGCTCCTTGCATCCTTGCCCATGGCGTTGCTGTGTTCAAATGTGATGCTGATACCAGCTGTGGTGTCTGTTAGCCTGGTGACCTCTGTCTGCAGGACCCTGAACTAGACCTGCCAGGTGGTGGGTCAGGACTGAGTGAGGGGTGGGAGTCAGTGTGGAATCAAGGTTAGAGGCAGCCGATCTGTCTCAGTAACCTGGAACTTGCACTGATCTTGTGAGCTCCAACAAACGGAGGGAAAGGGCTTTGGGCCTCTGCATAGAGCAGGCAGCAGGCAAATGATCTGGAAGGCCTCTTGTGGCTCTGAGGGTTTGTTTGGGGGTTAATTTTAAATTCTCAGGAATAGCTAAATGACAAAGTCTGATAAAAGAGTCCCAGTGAGTCTTCTTTTTTGCTGTCATTTTGTTTTGTTTTGTTTTTCGAGACAGGGTTTCTCTGTAGCTTTGGAGCCTGTCCTGGAACTCGCTCTGTAGACCAGGCTGGCCTCAAACTCAGAGATCTGCCTATCTCTGCCTCCCAAGTGCTGGGATTAAAGGCGTGTGTTACCACCACCTGGTGAGCCTTCTTTTTATATTTGATACCAGCTATTGATGAAGGACTACTCTAAACCAACCAGGATTGAGAATTTTCAAGAACAATCATAGAACTCACATATAGGATAGTTATCACATAGTAAACAAAACACAGAGGGTTAAAAATAAACCAATGGAAACATCCACCAGATGGAAATGAGAAATATTCAGGCTTGAAGTTTCTTCTCCTTAGGATACAATGTTGTCCTGCATTGAGTGTGTGACAAATCACATAACCACTGCTCACCAGGAAATCACATGACCACTGCACACCAGGAAATCACATGACCACTTCACACCAGGAAATCACATGACCACTGCACACCAGGAAGCCCACCCTAGGAAAGAATCTTCATTCTGAAGTAGGTTTAAGAAGCCAGGAGGGCACTGCTCAGGACTGTTGACCTAGGGAACAGAGGTGGAGCCACTCTGCACACACGGGGAGCTGGGGACTTACAGACACAGGGCAGGGGGGCAGGACGGCAGATCCCTTACAAGGAAACCAACAACAGATCAATTCAGTGACACTGGCCTCAGGGGACTCTTCCTAAAGTCAGTGCTTTGGCCTCCAGGTCCACTGCAGGTCAGAAATGGCACCAAAGTTCCCACCACACCTCATATCTTTCAGGTTGAGCATTTTTATAAGAAATTCTTGGGAACAGCTCCTGCATTTCCCCACTTTGAAGTATTTGCAGATATTTAGTAAAGTTTCTTACAGATGGGATCTGAATCTACCCAAATGTTGACACTGTACAGGAGATAGGGGGAGGGGGTTATGCAAAGCTTCTAAAGCAATTGTGCTGCCCCTGTGTGTGGAGCTTTGGACTGCTCAGGTTTGGAATCCTTTCAGATCCTTTTTTAAAATATATATATATATATATATATATATGTATGTATTATATATTTATATGTATATAAAATATATATATGTATATATATTATGTATACAATATTCTTTCTGTGTGTATGCCCTCAGGCCAGAAGAGAGCACCAGACCCCCTTACAGATGGTTGTGAGCCACCATGTAGTTGCTGGAAATTGAACTCAGGACCTTTGGAAGAGCAGGCAATGCTCTTAACCTCTGAGCCATCTCTCCAGCCCCTGATGAATCCACTCTTGGCATGCAGTTTATGTATGGTCCATTGCAGAGCTCCCCAGGCAAGCACAGGCATTCCTGCATGCTGGGTTCTGTATGGGCTGAAGATGACTTCCCAGCTGCTGGTAGCAGAAAGAAGACTCCTGGGAAATGTGGATCCTTCACAGCACACACAGTTCTCTGAGCTAAAAAGTATTTGCTCTAATCGCACATCTCTGTGTTCATCTACAGGGCTCCCACAGATAATGATGACATTGACCGTGAGTGGAGGCATCTTATCAAGAGTCTCTCACTACAGTGTCTTGACTCTACATTACACACAGACCCCTATGTTCATGTATGAGGTACCAAATGTTCATGGCAGACCACAAAATTGGATATCTGTAAAAATCATTGCCCATTGGGTTGGTAGTATAGAAGTGAGGTTTGTACAAGCTTTTAGCTTCAGAAAAATAACTGTTTTCTTCATGCACTTGACCTCTTCCGTCACAGTGAGCAGGAAGCTGCCCTGCATGATGTTCTGGAGAAGCATTTAGCCCAGGAGCCCACAGATGAAAATGATGAAACTGAAAAGAGGCAGCAGAAGGAGAATTTTCTGAAAGAATTTCCTGAGTTGAAAAGGAAACTTGAAGAACACATCAGGAAGCTCCGAGCTCTGGCTGACCATCTTGACCAGGTGCACAGGGGCTGCACCATCTCCAGTGTGGTGTCCGGCTCCACCAGCATCGCCTCTGCACTCCTTTGTTTAGCAGTGGGATCCATTACAGGAGGGGCCAGCCTGCTGCTCTCAGCAGCTTCCTTGGGGCTGGCAGCCAGTATAGCTAGTCTCACCACCACCATTGTGGAAGAGTCAAGCCGACTGTCAGACGAAAGTGAAGCCAGTCGCCTGGTGGGAGCCAGCATGAACATACTGAACAAGATTATGAAGATCGTGCCTATAATCACAGTCAAACTTGGTAATACGAGCTTGACTTTAGTCAGGACTTGGAAAGCCTTCAAAAAGCAGATTGACGCCGTCCGGACAGCCAAAGCCAGCTCTCACTTAAGAGCAAGGGCTGCAGGACGCATCCCTGACCAAGGCTCAAGGCATGTGGGGAGGACATTACCCAGCCCTGCTCTCCCAGTGACAAGAGGAGCCAGGATTAGAACAGTAGGCTTTACCAGTATCATCCTCGCACTGGATGTGTATCGCCTGGTGACTGACTCGATGGATTTGTACAACGGAACACCAACACAGTCGGCTACAGCACTGCGGGACCTGGCTAACAAGCTGGAGGAGAAGCTGCAGAGCTTTGAGCAGATCCACAAGGCTCTTCAGTCAGACCTGCCTCAGTGATCCCTCACACCGCAGTTAGCTTGAGGCATGCCGTTACAAGGGAAATAGCATGAGATCAAGTCTATGGAACTGAGTATTGAGACGTTTGTGTTTCTGTGGTCCAGGACAGCAAGGTCAATGCTGATGGCTGGCGATTCATGGAGAAGACAGGAACTGGAGTCTAAAAGAAGGGGCCAGAGTGGCCTAAAGAGTGGGGGATGGTACTGAGACGTGGTGGGTATGAAGAGAGAGGGCTATGTAGGAACAAGTAAGGAGAAGTCAGGAAACCTGAGGAGGGAGAAAGTCAGCGTGAGAGTTCTGGATATGGAGAAGCCACGGCAGGTGACCACATCCCCTCTCCCAGGGAAAGTGTCCCTAAGACCTCTGGGCTATTCCCCCTAGCATCAGCAGGATCAACTCACCCTGTTTCCTCCAGGCAGTGACCTCTGGAGAGTGATAGTGATGATGATGATATTGATGATGATGATGATGATGATGGGGATGAAGATGATGTTGAGGATGGTGGTGGTGAGAGAGGAAAGATGGAGTTCTTGAGAAGTAGTCAGCCCTCCAGGGGACATGTCACCTGAGAGACCATGACAGCAAAGTGAATGTCTGTGTGCTGTGATGTGTCAGTGGTTGGTTCTAGGGGTAGAGAGTCCAGGCAGATTTACATAAGACGTCAAATAACTTGTGATTTGGAGACAACACATCTGTGACAGGAGACTCAGCCTGTGACCCTCCGTTTCCTCTCATACTGGAGGGAGGTGTGATGGCCAAGACAGTATCTCAGATTAACTGATGCTTGCCCTCTTATATTTATAGACTTGTGTTCAATAAATATTAACCTCCCGGTCTAGATAAATTGAGTATAGAGCAGTCAATTGCGACAGAAGAAGGTGGCATGGGAGCAAAGAAAAGGGCAGGGTCAAGATAGCATACTGTTATCGTTGGTGGAGAGCTATGCACAGTGCCAAGTAGAGGGAAGATGAAAGTCTGGTGGGCTGCCACAGGGCTCAGAAGGAGGAGTTATGTATGGTAAGCAGGATACTGGTGACATTTATCAGAATCAGAATGTGACTACTCTGTTCTACTCAGCTAGCACCAAGGATGCTAGGTGTGTCTCTAACACTGACAGTCCTGCAGTCCCCATGCAAAGCCCACATGCCACTGCAGTGACAGGCCATATAGGGGCAGCAGGTTAGATTTTCTCATGGCCACTCTTGATGCTTAGACTAACATGGCTCTAGTCAGGTCAAGCTGGATCTAACACATTGAGCCTGTCTAATGTTGGCCCACTGGTTCCTCTAGGCATTGGTCTCCTGATTTCCATTTGCCTTTGGGCAACAATCCCACAGCTCTGAAGTGTTGTGACTCAACTCAGGGACACTACAATAAGAAACATATTCTCAGAACCCTTGACAGTCTGAGGATTTCTCTTCTACTGATGATCTGCACTGGTTCAGAATGACTGTCCGCACAGCATGCAGTTTCCTTTCCTATGCTTTGCAGTTCTTGGAGGTTTTGTCTCTCGTGGTTGCTCAGATGTCCAGTTGGTCTGAGCCATGCCCCATCTCTAGGGTGTTGGCTATGATGGAGTGACCATAGTGGCCTGGCACCTGGTGCTGACTCCTCCACCCTCTATGGAGCTAATAGTAACATGAAGCAGAACTAGAAGAGCGCCCATTGGATTGGGATCATATTCCCATCAGCTGACATTTCCTCTGGACCAAAGGCATTGGCAGAGTCTCCAACTCTGAAGAGGCAGATATTTGCACAACCTTCTTGGGGTGTAACTGCTCATGCTGAGCAATTCCCTAGGAGATCTCCAGAACTCTAGACGGCCTGGGCTTTGTTTATGTCCCTGGAGTTAAAGATAGAGGGGTGTGGGGGGATAGAGGATACCCCAAACCCTGCTGTAAGAGTCTGTATCCTCATCCTGACTGATCAAGAGTTTATGAATGTTCCATCCCATTCCTCAGACTGATCAAGGGATCCCCATCTGATAGAGCAGATACCTTGCAGACTTTGATCCACCCATCAGAGATGCCATGAGAGTAAGACAAGGTCGTGGACCCTGTAATAGGGGATACTGGGAACTTCTGGAGGAAGCAATGCAGGGTGGTTCTAAGTAGAGGCAGATTCCAAATGCCATGCTCACCAGCATCAGCAGACCACTGTCTGCATCATCCACTCCAGAGCCCAGGACTGTGTAAGGGATGAGGGGAGGCTGGTGTGCTTGGGGAGAGATGGTAACTCTAACCATAAAATTATTTTTGTTGTCACCTCATAACTGTTATTTTGACACTGTTATGAATCATAATGTAAATATCTGGAATTTCCAATGGTCTTAGGTGACCCCTGTGAAAGAGTTATTTGACCCCCCCCTCCCTAAAGGGATCCCGACCCACAGGTTGAGAACCACTGGTCTACAACATCTGCTGCAGAGAGTGAGGGATAGATGCACGTACAGGTGTCTCCGTAAATCCTATCTCTACAGAGAGACAGCAGAGAGGGGACATCTTGAAAATGTCAGTCTCTCTTGGAGGACAAAAGAGAATCTCTTAATCTGTTCTGAACCGAGCACATAACACACAGTGAGAACCAAAGGGTGCTGGAAAATTGTGATCTGCAAAGTCAAAATGCTAGAACCTTATCAAGCAGCAGTGGTCACCATGCGGTCCATGCCAATGGGTGCAACCACCGTGGGCATTTCCTTTATAATGGACGTGGTCAGCTTTGTAAAAGCTCAAAGCATTTGCAGAGCTGCAGGAGTGGGCTCGGGACCTGGAGTGGAAGTTGCAGGAGCTCATCCTGGCCCATGAGTCTTTGACTCAGGAATCTCTTCTTCTCCACAGCGGCCCAGGGGTCAGGGAAGATGTGCTGGACAGAGGTACGGACAGATGAGAGCCACCAACTGCCTCACATTCATCACGGTGATGAATGGTGGCAGTAGTCCCTGCTGGGGGGAGAGGCCCTATGGAGAGGTGGAAGCCAGAGCACACAGAGCCCCAGTGACATCAGGAGTTAGACCCTATCCGGCAGCCAGCATGGGGTCCTGACCCTGACAGCTTTTATTTGCGCTTGCTGGCTGCAGCTGAAGACAACCTGTTTCCTAGAAAAAACCACAAAAGCAAACGACAGGAGATGAATAGGCAGCTGGGGGCTGCCCTACCAAAAGCCCCCTCTCCTTTGCGAAGTCCATTTTTAAAACCCCAAACCAAAGTCAAATAGCAGCCAAACAGACCTTTTGGGACCTCTCCTGTTGGGCGGGAGCCTTGGTCATCCAGCTGTCAGATTCTAGCAGGCCTCTCAAGAGCTCCCTGATACACACAGCACTCTTGCATTGCTGTCTGTGCAACCCGTTCGTCACACTCTAAAACAGATCTTGAGCCGGCTTCTGGGGCTGGACACTCTGATGACGGCTCTTATACATCGTTTATTTATTCTTTGGTAATTTCATACATGTAGACTATTATATTGATCATATCCATCCCCAACCCCCACACTCTTCCCCCGACATCCAGAGCACATGCCCCTTCTACCTTTGTTTCATTTCTTACCCCTACTGAGTCCAACTGGTGTCCTTTGCTGGCACCTTAACTGATCCAGCTGGCTTGACCGAGTGCAGGCGGCCATAGCTGCAATGAGTTTGCGAGAGCCACAACCCTGCCACGCCCAGAAGAGAGCACTTCATGGCTTTCCTCCCCATCCTGTGGCTCTTAAGTTCTTTCTATCCCTCTTCCATGATGTTCCCAGAGCCTTGGCAGGTGTCAGGGAGTGGGAAGGGATACGGACATCTCAACCGGAGCTCAGCACACAACAGTCACTTATTCTCGGCACTTAAGCATTCATGAACCTGCATTGCTTGCTGCCCACTGCAGAGAGAAGCTTCTCTGGCCAAAGGTGAGGCAAGCACTGATCTATGGGTATAGATAGAAATACTCAGAAGACTGCTTGACAACATGCACAATTTCAGCATGTCAACTGTAGTAGATTCCCAACATGTGCCTATGACCTCCTGGCTTTTTAGCAGGCTTACAGTACTGGGCATGAGTTTCCACTTATGAAACAGGCTTTCCTCAAATCCATTGCAAGAGTAGCTGGTTTCTCCCTTAATCTTTAGCCACCGCTGCACCAATGGGCACACCTAGCCTGGCAGATCACTACTTAGCGTATGAGGTTTGCTTCTGGGTAAGACCACTGATGGGTTCTTCCCCAGAAGCCTGCATAGCTCCTCCTAACACTATGAAAGCTAGTCAGCATCGAGATACCGAGATCAAGGACTTCTGTGGAGTCCGTGTGGCCCCCATCTTACCTAAGAGTCCTCCCACAGGGAAGAAGAGTGTTCTAGATGGCATACTCCTACAAGCTTCCATCCCTACAGACAAATGAATCCAGCAAGACTCTAGCCTCTCTCCAGCCTCACCACCACCCTCCTGTATTGGGTCAGTCATTCTGTCACTGTGACAGACAGGAAACTCTTTAAAGCATGAAAGGCTTGCTTCTACTCATGGTTTAGCAATTCCAATCCACAGTTAGCTGGCTCCATTGCTTTTTGGTCTTTGATAGAAACTTCATGGCACAGGGGCATGGCAGAAAAAAAAGTGATCACCATTGGGCAGCCAGGAAGCATAGGGGACCAACAGGAAAGAGCCAGAACCAAGATAACACTTCAAGAGCATGCTCCAGCTCTATGTGCATGCCCCAGCTCTAAGTGCATGCCCAGCTCTAAGTGCATGCCCCAGCTCTAAGCGCATGTCCCAGCTCTAAGTGCATGTCCCAGCTCTAAGTGCATGCCCCAGCCCTAAGTACATGCCCCAGCCCTAAGGGCATGCCCCAGCTCTAAGTGCATTTCCCAGCTCTAAGTGCGTGTCCCAGCTCTAAGCGCATGCCCCAGCTCTAAGTGCATGCCCCAGCTCTAAGTGCATGCCTAGCTCTAAGTGCATGCCCCAGCTCTAAGTACATGCCCCAGCTCTAAGTGCATGCCCCAGCTCTAAGTGCATGCCCCAGCTCTAAATGCATTCCCCAGCTCTCAGTACATGCCCCAGCTCTAAGTGCATGCCCCAGCTCTAAGTGCATGCCCCAGCTCTAAGCGCATGTCCCAGCTCTAAGTGCATGCCCCAGGTCTAAGTACATGTCCCAGCTCTAAGTGCTTTGCAGTCCTCTGGGCTCTTCTGGAGGTCAGATCCCTCTATCTCTGGACTTGACTCTTGTTACCCTTTGCCTACACAATATGAAATCTCCACCGTTTCTCCATCTATTCCTATTGCTGCCAACCCTGGCCCTCATACACCACATCTTTTGTCCCCTCATCCTTTTCACTATTCACTGCTGCCATCTCCATTGCTATGATCCCCCACGCCGATGCTATTGCTGCCTCTTCCTTTTGCCAGCTCAGCTCAAGATAAAGACCGAGGGTGGGAGATTACTCAAGAAACTCTTCCCTGGGGGTCCAGGAAGGTGGCCCTGTCAGTAAAGCGCTTGCCGTGCCAGCATGAGGACCTGAGTTCAGATCCCAAGCACTGGTGCAAAAAGCCAGACACAGAGGCACACATCTATAGTCCCCACATTGGAGAAGCAGTGACATGAGGATACCTGACGCTTGCTGGCCAGGCAAGTCCAGATAAGTCAGTGAACTTCAGATTCAGTAAGAGACGTTGTTTCCAAAACTGAGGGAGAGGGTCAATGAGAAGGCTAAGTCCACCACTTCTGATGCAGAGGACAAAGGGGTCTTTCTCAGGCCAAAGGGCCTGACTCAAGGACTCAGATCACCAACGGTCAACTGAGACTGTGATTCTCAGCACAGTCTCATGCCAGTGATGATTAATGGCATGGGCACAGCCAGGAACCCAGGAGCAAACAAGAGCAGATTCTGTTAAAGGAAGTTAGCATGAGAGAAATCCCTGAGAGTAGCAGGGGTCCCCAGGGGAAGAGCACAAAGCTGTTTGCCTTGTGGGCTTTTCACAGGACAGATAGAAGGAACTGGACAGAACTGGATGCCAGGAACTGAGCTCATTTTAACTGAGCTTGGTTCATTTCCTAAGCAGATCAAGGGCCAAACCAATGGAGTCCTGCATGCTCTTGGCATGTCCCCTTAGCCCAGCTGGAAAGATGATCACACGCTGTTCCCATGCTCTCACATAGGTTGGCCGTGTGTTGAAGTCTGTCTGTCTTTGACTACTGACTTTGGTTTGTCTGCTGGCTGCTAGCCCTGGCCAGAGTTGCTAGTAGCCGATCTTGGAAGTATTGCTGACTTTGGTAGACGCCGGCCAGTTGTTAACTAAACTACACTCTGCTGTATGTGGGGTCTCAGTATTTTTCACCATGCGCTGTTTCCTTTACTGCCTGTGGAGTAGGTAACTCCAGCTTTCCTTTGGAAAACCCAAAAAGGACAATCATGCTGGACAGTCCCTTATCATGATCCATTTCTTAGACCTGCATCATAAGGCGGACCTGGTGCCCTTGAAAGAAGGGACGCAAGATCTGAAAACAAACAATCCTGTCATATGGTCACATGTACAATGTGCGAACATGTCTTCTCCATTCTCTGTGGACCTAGAACATCATTCAGGTAATATGTCTGAGTCAAAGGAAGTACATGTGGCCAGGACTGTTGGACACTGACCAAATATGTACAAGTACCTAAGACCATGAAGACACGCATGAAGGCACCTCTGCTTGATTTCAGAGAGGCACAAGTCACAAAGGGTACATGACTTCAGCTTACTTTACACTAACTTTTTCACACCCTCCCCTCCTCTGACTGTCACGCTTCAGGTTCTTGACACTGGTGGCCTGGGAAGCTGCAGAGAGGGTCCACCAGACCCGTGATTGGGCTGTCAATGTTCTGCTGCAATAAAGAGACACCTTGACCATGGCAACTCTTATAAAGAAAAGTGTTTAACTGGGGCTTGTTTACAGTTTCAGAGGTTCGGTACAATACTATCATGGTAGGGAATAGGCAGACATGGTACTGGAGAAGGAGCTGAGACTTCTACATCTGGAACTGAATGTAGCAGGAAGAGAGAATCACTGAGCCTGGCATGGGCAAAGCCCACCCCAGTGACATACTTCGTTCAACAAGGCGACACTTCCAATTACACACTTCCTAATCCTTCTGAAGTAGTACAACTCCCTGATGACTGAGCATTCAAATGGCCTCTGGGGGCCATTCTTATTCAAACTACCACACAGGCTATTCCGGTGAGACTGTCCAGAGAAGGCCACTGGATCATTATGTCTCTAAAATAATTTCTAAAACAAAATCAACAGCATCTATAAAGGCACAGTGTCATCACTGAGGCTCAAAGGGAAGGATCAAGGATCAAGGATGTCCATAGTACAAGGAGTCACCTCTATGGCTTGGCCAGTGCCCAACAGTCGTGTGTCTTGGGAAACAAAGGCAAGAACTCATAAACACCCTGAGCCTGAAGCAATATTCAAGTTGCCATTACAAAGCTGATCCTGCTAATTAGCACAAATAATATAGCCTTTGGCTCTTGGTATGTAGCCATCAGCTCTCTTGGTAACAAGTCAAGTGATCACCTCAGTATTGTATGAAGAAAACAGCAAGAAATGGGTTGGGGTGGCACCTAAGGTACCCTAAAGCGGCAGGAAGCTGGAGAAAAAGCTTGGGAAATAAGGAGAAACCAAAAAGTCACATGGCGTCTAAGGCAGAGCACAGACACCCCATTACCACCTCCACCCTCTTTGGAGAAGGTCAGCTGCTGTCCTGAGAATGTGTCCCAACACCATTGGGCTTTTCCTCACTTGTTCTAGATTTGGGAGCCCACGTTGGGGCAGCCACTTACCCACTACAAGTGGTTTAGGAGCCATGGGTACCAGGGTAGGGATGGGGAGGAAACATTTCGTCTCTTTTTCTTCATGTCAGAAACATGGGGCCATCCTTCCCTCAGTGACATTACATGTTAGGGAAGTCACAGAGTGGGGATGGGGAGAGCAGAGCAGGGGTGAAGCAGCTCTGTCCTGTAAAACAGACCCATCACACAGGGGCCCCAAGCAGGGGTGACAGGCAACTGTCAATCTTCAGTTTGCAAAACTGTTGGTGTTTAGCACTGGGAGAGCTGGGGAATGCCTGCTGGGGAGGACCCAGAAAAGTCGTAGCTGCATTGTGTCCTGGATATCAGCAAAGAGTCTGGCTGGAGTCCAGCACTCCAGTGGGAGAAAGTCAGGAGGTTAGCAGCAAAGATATTTAGGGGAAAGGAGGAGGCCAAACTGAGGCCAGAGTTGGAAAGTCTTTTGTCCAATGGGAATGCTCTCTTGAATATTTCTACTGCATAAGAGACCCCTTTTTTTTTTGAGGTGTAGGGGGTGTGAGACAGAGTCTCACTATGTAGCATTTTCTGTCTTGAAACTCACTATACAGACTAGTGAAACTCACAGAGATCCACCTGCCTCTGCCTTCAAAGTCCTGGGATTACAGACATGTGCTACCATGCCCAGCCCTAAGAAACTATACTCAGAGTAAGAGCATGCCTTTGTGACCACCAGGCCTCTGTCCTTCCCTGTTGTTACACACTGTGTGGAGATGTATTGCTGTGACTGTTGCAGTAAGAAACTGAATGGCCAGTAGCTAGGCAGGAGAATATAGTCGGGACTTATAGAGAGGGCTCTGGGAAGAAGAAGAGTCAGCAGCCAGACATGGCGGAAGCAGGATAGACAGTACAAAGATGGGGTAATGAACCACACAGAACATAGATTTAAAAATTTGAGTTAATTTAAGAGCTCCATGTCATTATCTGTGAGCTAGCAGCCCAAAGAAAAATATGACTACACCCCCGCAGCAACCTAGCGTTTCCAAAGAGGTTTCAGAACCAGGGAGAGAGGCTGTGCTTATCCACATAATAAGGCCCATGTCCCGCCAAGGCTGGCTTCACCTAATGAATCTCAATCCCAGAAGTGACCGGGTGGGACACTACTGAATGGCCAGAAGGTGATTCGGCACAGGTCAGCTGGGAGAAGCCAGCTTGAGGGCAGGACAGGCTGTGGAGGGGAGTGACAGATGGGGACAAAAACACGACAAAGTTTTTGAAAAGAAGAGATGCCTAAGGCCTGAACGCCATATTAGAGAGGCTTGACTTCCTCTAACAAAACGCCTGTCTCTGTCCCGAACACCTCCCCAGACTTCTGCACTACTTTGGGAGAGGGAGCGTGCTACTGAGTTGAGCCTGACTGCAAACTCTCATGGATCTGGGTGAGCACCCCCAGTTTCTCCTCCAGCTCCTGAGCCTGCTGCCTCAACTCCTCAGCCGACTGTGCCTTTGCCCCCTTGTGCAAACGCTTGGATTCTTTCACAAGGCCGATCACATCCCCAACGAGGGTCACACCTGTGGTGGCTGCATTCATGAGCCAGGCTCTTCTGCTCATGGCCAGGGCAGTGCCCCTAAAGGCGTTCTTCACCTGCTTTCCACTTTGGGCAGAGATGCTCCCCATGGTCAAGAGGCGCTTGGCACTGGTTGCTAAGGCAGGGTTGGCTTTGGCGAGCTTGATGGCGTAGATGCTCTGCTGAAGGCATCGCAGGACTCGGCAGCAATTCTCAGATAACTCATAGACTTGGGGCCCTGAATGAACCACGGCCTCTGCAACCATCTTCACTTTGACCATGCTGGTTGACACCAGGTGGCTGGCTCGCGTTTTGGCCGATGACTCGCTTGTGTAGTCCACGATACCAGTAGAGACACTAGTCACAGCCGCCGCTGCTCCCAGGCCCATCCCCGTTGCCAAGAGCACCAGACCGGTCCCAGCTGTCACAGGTACCAGAGCGAGGCCAAGGAGGGTGAGGACCCCAGAGACAGTGCTGGTGGAGCCGGCCACCACCTTGGAGATGGTGCAGTCCCTGTGAACCTTGTCAACCCTGTCTGCAAGGGCCTGGAGCTTCCTGATGTGTTCCTCGAGTTCCAGTTTCACCTGAGGAAACGTTTCCGCAAACTTCTCCGTGTCCTGCAGCTCACGCTGGAGCCTGTCTTGGTCTTCCTCGGCCATGTTTGCTGTGAGGTCATTGAGAGCATCCCGCAGTGCGTCTGCATCAGCTCTGTAACAGGCACGGAGAGAGAGTTTAGCTGTGGATTTAGGTCAAGGCTGGACTGCCAGTCTAATATGCACGGGTCCTGGGTTCCATGCCCAGTACAATCAATCAATCAATCAATCAATCAATCAATCAATAAACAGAACAAGTCAGGTGGTGCACGCCTTTAATCCCAGTTCTTGGGAGGCAAAGGCAAGTGGATCTCTGTGTCAAGGCCAGCCTGGTCTACAGAGCGAGTTCCAGAACAGGCTCCAAAGCTACAGAGAAACCTTGTCTCAAAAAAATCATAAATAAATAGATAAATAGATAGCTAGACAGACAGACAGACAGACAGATGGTTTGTTACAGGCTCCATAACACATGACCTGTGCAAATGACAGACAGCATGCTTCTATGGCTCAGGAGGGATTTTACGGACATGCAGAACCTTTCTTTTGATGGTGAATACTTGACAATCATAAATGGCCCTTCATCAGTAGAGGATAACGAGTAAAAGCCATGTTAAGATGCTCTTCAGAGGTGCTGGAGAATCGGCTCTGCAATTAAGACTGCTTGTTAAACTTGTACAGGGCTGGGATTTAGATCTCAGCACTCACATTGAAAGGCTCTCAGTCATCTGTAACTCCAAATCCAAAGGCTCTGATGACCTCTTGTGGCCTCCAGGGGAAGGTGCATGTACACGCATATAAATAAAGAGTAAATAAATTGCCAGACATGGTGGCACATGCCCTTAATCTCAGCACTCAGGAGGTAGAGATGGGCAGATCTCTGTGAGTCTAAGCCAGACTGGTCTACAGAGTGAGTTCCAGGACAGCCAGAACTATATAGAGAGACCCTGTCTCAAAAATAAATAAATAAATAAATAAATAAATAATACAATATAAATTTTGTTGGTTTGTTTAAGATGCTCTTGGGGCTAGAGAGATGACTGAGCAGCTAAGCGCACTGTCTGCTCTGCCAGAGTACCCAGGTTTGATTCCCAGCACCCATATGGGAGCACACAACTGCCTGTTCTAAGGGTTCCAAGGCCCTCTTCTGGCCTCAGGGGGCACCAGGCACATACATACACATTCAGGCAAAGACTCATACATATAAAATAGAAATAGTCTTTTTTAATTAAAACCTTTTAAAAGACGTTCTTTAGGGGCTGGGGACTAGCACTGTAGGCACAATGTCTGCCTAGCATGAGTGAGGCTGGTGTCTAGCACTGTATAAAACCAGGCATGATGTTACAAGTGGTAGTGTCAGTACTTGGGAGGTAGAGGCAGGAAGATCAGAAGTTCAAGGTCATCTTTGGTTATGTCTGAGTTCAAGGCCAATGTGGGCTACATAAGACCTTGTCAAAAAAATTCTCTTGGTGTCAGGTGTTTGATGAAGATGCTTCTTACTCAAGGGTAACACTGTGGTCATCAACACATGTCGGGGTGGGGGAGAACTCTGCTGATGGACACAGGGAGGCAAGATTGGAACATAAAGCACCCTTAATTCATGGAATCTTTGCTAGTGTGTTATGAATTGCCTCCCTTTCGCCCTCAGCCACTGAGACATAAGCAGTAGGCTGGGTCATGTTCTGCCTGCCAGGACCGTCTGCATCTGGCTGGGACTTTGGCAGAAAGCTCATTCGAACTGAGCAGCCCTGGCTGACTATTCTAAGTGTGAAAGGCTTCAAAATGATGCCACAGTGGAAAACCCCATAGTTGGCCTCAGGGACAGGTCACACTCAAACACAAGGGTGCTAACAAGAGCATAGGAAGTTAAGATGTTCGCTAGCTGTAAAAAATACCAAAGTGTGTTTCATGTTGAGACTTGGATCTCATTCCTACAATGGATCACAGTTGAAAATATTTTAAAATCAGGAAAATTCAGGATCCAAACCACTTCTGTTCCCAGGAACGCCCTATAGAGGGTGCTCGGTCTTAACCAGGCAGTATGTGGTGGGGGCTTTAGTGTCATTTCTGACCTCCAGGGAATTGGAGACTAAAGGCATTGACCTCCAGAATGAAAGATCCCAGGTCAGCCTTGAAGATGGTGTGCAGTCCAGCCTTTGGGGGGCTCTCAAGTTCCCTGAGAGACAATGGAACACCCACAAAGACCAGTTCTGGGTACACCCATGAGGGTGTTCTGGAGACAATTAGCATATGAACAAGGACACTGGGTGGGGAAGGCTGGTGGTGAATGAGACTGCACCATCCAAAGGCAGGGAAGAAAAACCAGAAAAGGGGGAAAGAGCTCAACCACAGGTGACCTGGACAGCTCAGCCTCAGCCACGAAGGCCTCCCAGACCCCATCTTCAGTCAGCAGCAGCCGTAGATCTCCCCTCTCTGATGAGCGCTGAAGGTACTCAGTGGTTTCCTCGATGAAGTTTTTGCTCCCTAGTTGGAAAGGAAAGTGAAGTTGGAGGACAGAATGGAAGCGCTTGAGCAACAGTATCCACAGGGTCAGCTTCCCAGTCTGTCCTGGTCCCACCTGAGGAGGCAGGACAGGGAGGGGGTGAGTCCCGGCGATACGCCCCAGGAAGGGATCTGGTGTTGGAAGAGTTCCTGTAGTCCCCCTTGGGTCTCCCCTTCTCTGTTCTCAACTTCTCTGCACTCAGGAATGGCGGTCTAGGCCACAGAGGAGAAGAAGCCAGAGGAATGCAAATACCTGGTGAGCCCTCACAGGGTGTCGGGTCCATGGTGTCAACTGCAGGGTCTCGGGTCCGAGCTGCGCGGAGAAAGCAAACCACGCGATGGAAGGGGAACAACTGTTGAGAAGGCAGGCAACTAGGGACTGGGTCCCTCTGGTCCCTCCATGGTGTCTGGTAACGATTAGACTTTACCCAAAGTGTTTCTCTTCCATGGACTCCACCAGAAAGCAGACAGTCGTATGGCTCTAACTGCACACTTGCCCTGCTCCAGACAAGGCAAAGGCCTTCTGCTCTGGTAGGATCAGTGGATGATGAACCTGAGGGAGGGAACTGCATTTGGACACAGAAGGCAAGAGGAGGGGGGGCGCTCTGGCAGCTATCCAAGAGGAGGGGGGACGCTCTGGCAGCTATCCAAGAGGAGGGGGGACGCTCTGGCAGCTATCCAAGAGGAGGGGGGACGCTCTGGCAGCTATCCAAGAGGAGGGGGGACGCTCTGGCAGCTATCCAAGAGGAGGGGGGACGCTCTGGCAGCTATCCAAGAGGAGGGGGGACGCTCTGGCAGCTATCCAAGAGGAGGGGGGACGCTCTGGCAGCTATCCAAGAGGAGGGGGGATGCTCTGGCAGCTATCCAAGAGGAGGGGGGACGCTCTGGCAGCTATCCAAGAGGAGGAGCGCAGTTGTGAACTAATGATAGAGACTGATGTCTACTGTTGGGACACACGGGGCTCCTTAGACATCCACTGCACACACCCCATGAGGTGAGGAGCACTGTGGCCCCATCACAATGGGGAAGGAAGGCCACGAGGGTAGCTAACATCCCCAGTCTTCAGAGCAGTGTTAGAACTAGCTCACAAACCCAAACCGTTCTAAGCCATGCCCTACCCTCTGGCAACTAAGCTTGGGTCCCTTAACTATTCAGCAGGGTCCTCCGACCCATGTGCAGTATATTATGAACAGCTTCCCACCCACAGCGATGCCTGTGCCCTGCAGGGGACAGAGTCACCAGAGCCCCTGGGATCTCCCAAGACCGGTGCACTCCTCACTCCTTCAGGATCCTGCATCCAAGCTGGCCCTAGACTCCTGCCACATCCTGTCTGTTTCTGTGCCTGCTCTGGGCTGCCCAAACCCACCTGCCATCCTCCCTAATTATTGGACCTCATATCATATCCAACCCTCTACGTGAACAATAGTGCCAAGAACGTGTTCCTCACATAGTACTTTGCCGCCATTTCAGAATATTTCCCTAAGATCTATCAAGAGGGCTGGCAAGATGGTACCGCAGACAAGGGTGCTTGTAGCTAAGGCTGATGAAGAAAGTTCAATCCCAGGTCCCACACACTGAGAAGAGGGAGCTGGCTCCACAAGTTGTCCTCTGACTTCCACACACACACACACACGTGTGTGTGTGTGTGTGTGTGTGTGTGTGTGAACTTGAAAAATAAAACTAGGCTGGTGTGGTGGTGCACACCACCCAGAGCAAATGCCAGGTCAGCAGGGCTACACAGTGAGACCCTATTTCTAAAAAAAAAAAAAAAAAACTTAAAAAAAAAAAAGTAAAAAGAAACTGACTTACTTCCTACGCAGAAACCTAAACATTAAAACCAGTTCTATTCCTCTGGGATGGCGTACTCAGTAAGACTCATTTCTTACGGGATTTTCCAGGCACACAGAGGCCTGGCAGAAACAGTGACAGGCCTGCAGACATCACCCAAGTAACCAGATGAGATGAAACGGCACCTTCCTTCACAGTGCGACTGTCTCTTTGCTACCTTCATCTTCAGATTTGAACCTGCTCAGCTCCACACACACACGGGATGCACTGAGGCCCATTTGGTCCAGCACTCCATTACAAGGGTAACTTCCACAGGGTTCATTTAACCAAGACTTGCCTAGCTCCCAACCTCTTCAGGGCTCAGTCAAGGCAACTAGCAGACACCACGACAGAGAACCCCAGTTCATGCAAGAAGCAACCAAATGAGGAGGCCCCAGAGTTCCTGGAGTCTCACAGCCTGTTCTCTGGGGGTTGATTAATATTCTTTCCCTTCGTGACCAGATAAAGTTCTCTCTGCTCTGGTACTCTTTTTTGTGACTCTTTGCTCCCCAACCAAGGCAGAGAAGCTGATACACAAGGAAAGCCCCCATTCTCCATTCTCTGGCCCCTCGGTAGAGCCCTGCACTGACCTGGTCGTGGACCGCAGCTGGGTGTTGATGTGGGCACAGTGGATCTCTTGAAGGGGCCTGTGGCTCAGTTCAGACGGCTGTTCCAGGAAGGGCAGAGGCCCCACTGGGGGACGTGGAGCCTGTGTCAGCCCTGCCCTGCTCCTGGCCAGCTGTGCGGCTCTGATAGGAGCCTTCTTTTCTCCCAGCTGCGGCCTGAGTAGAGTTCAGCAACTCCTCCCCTGGCCAGGGAGTTTGGGGCATCCTCCCTGGGCACGGAAGGAAGGAGTGAAGACAGTTTGCTCCCTCTCAGGAGTCCTCAGTGACCTCTCGGGGTCAAGTTGAAGCCCTTTCAGTCAGCACACCAGTCCTCCAACCCGCTGCGGCCCCTCCCTCCTTCCTTCCCCACCACTCCCTGCTTCCGCCATAGACCTTCAAGGCCATCCTGCCTCAGTGACCAGGACACTTCCACGCCTCTGCTATGACTGACCCTCCCTGCAGCGCCCTTTCTCCTCCATAGTGAGACGCTTCCGTTCTGTTCTTCCTGCTCCCTCATTCTCCCACAGTCTCCACGGCACCTGACTCCCAACGCCTGCTGTCTCCTGCCCCCACTGTAGAGACTCCAAAGCCGTCCCACTGATGGGCAGTAGCCTCCAGGGGTCAGCAGCACAGGTGCTCTGCCCATCAGCTGAAAACACAAGCACTTGATGGGCAAGGTGGAGGCCAACACTGACCCTTTCACTCTGAGACTGAAGCACCAAGCATGACCATTAAAAGCCGCATTAGTGGCATAAACTTAGAATTCCAGCATTCAGGAAGCTGAGATAAAAAGGCAATGAATTTAAAGCCAGACTAACGGGGCGCCCCAGGCCTATCTGGGGTTCCTGGGGAGATGCCATCTCAAAAAACAAGAAAGCAACCCAAGTTCTGAGTTAGCCTGTGCCTCTTTACATCCGGTCTCTCTCTCCACACCCAGCAATGTTACGTTGACAGAGCCGGATGGCTCTGCGGATAATGATTGGGAATGAGTGCCCCTTCTCGGTCTCCACAGCTGGTCTCCTTGCCTATCCAGACACCCAGGACAGCATCAGCTTTCTGCCTTCATCACCCACAGACTGACACCAAGAGTCAGAGGAGATGCAGGGCTGTGTCCAGCTAACCAGTCTGGACCCCTTGGCCAATCACCTGGGACTTTAGTTTCTCCCACAGGACCTGAACCAGAATAGATGCTCAAAGGAGGACTGGATGCTCAAAGGCTCTGGGCCCCTTGTATCTCAGGATCTACACTTTGTCCCCATCAGAAGAGCAGGGGCGGAGTCAAGATGCAAGCCGCTATAGACTGGTATTCTAACATTGTGGTTCTTGAGAGCCCCCTTCTGCTTATGGTTATTTTGGGTCATTTCTTTTTTCTGAATTTCCCTTCCATCAAGTCTTTACCAGGATTGACAGTAATTAATTAATTCAACAATTAATTCAACAGCCAGATGAAATCTACTGCAAGGTGCAGGACCAGGTAAATGTCTATATGAGCCACAAGTCTACAATGATGGGGACCCTCTGATCAGAGTGTGGAATAGACCAGAACAGATCTCTCGAGCAGTCTTAGGTGGAGTAGCCTGGACTGGGCGGCAGACTTACTTGGCGGGATAGGGCATAGATGTCTTGAACCCCAGAAACTCCGGACACCTGAAGATCTACTACACAACAACTCTACTGCGGCCATCCAAAGCAGTCTTCCAGGATGTCCGCCCACAGCATAGGGCTTGGTATCTCAGCCCAAATCTTCGGCAATTACTGCCACCAGGATCCTAATGCAAAGGAAACAACCCTAAAACTACAGCACAAGAACCGGATGGTAATGGTGCACACCTTTAATCCCAGGACTCGGGAAGCTGTGGCAGGCGGATCTCTGTGAGTTCGAGGCCAGCCTGGTCTACA